TTAATGATATTGTTCCCACGCCCATGCAATATGTATAGGAGCTTTGATAAAAATGTCATCAATTTGTGAGGAGATTGTCATTATTTCAACGTGATCAAAATGTCATCCACATTTTCGTCATAAATTGACAACAAATTTTCACAGTGCAGCCGCACACCTGTGTGTTTGGGCTACTATTTGCCTGCTTTTCTGGCAACCACTACCACATATCCTTAGTTGCCAACGCGAGCATGACGCAAGCGGTTTTCCTCTTGAAATTCTTCTCCTAATTCAAAATGTCGTTGCCCCTGTTAGTAAACAAAAAGTTCTCGCCCCCCCCTCTTTCCGAGGCCGCCTCTGGATCCGCCACTGCCGCAGATGTTGAGTAACTGCTTTAGTATGCAGGATGGAACGCAGCCAGCCGCACACCTGTCATGTGTTTGGGCAGCGGGTGGAAACTCCCTTAGCGCGGCTGGGACCATGTCTCGGGCGGCTCGCCACGGCCCGGTCGGCCGCCCGGCGCCCGAGAATGGGCTGCACCGGCCTCTATTATTGCGTAGAAATCAATTAAAAATTCGACTTTTGGAAAAAGTGGCCATGCTAAGCCACAATTTAAGGACCAAGGAATCGTTTTCATTCATTGGATTTGACCAACAGATATGTTATTACAATGAATTTCTCTCCGAAACTTTTCGGCGGCGACGCGCTATCCTGCGAGCTACGGCCATCCTACGCATAGCAAACTTAATCCGTTTCGTTCTCAGCAATCGTTCATCGCATTGCAAATCCGAGGACAGATTCGGAATCTGCGTGAAATTTCCTGTGGCGTAGGACGTATCGTTATATTTAAAAATCTCGAGATAAAGTGTAGTTATAATGAGAAAACTACGTTAAATTTGCCGGTTTTTCAAGGTCATTTTAGGTTATTTTCCCTCTTATGACTACACTTTATCTCGAGATTTTTAAATATAACGATACGTCCTACGCCACAGGAAATTTCACGCAGATTCCGAATCTGTCCTCGGATTTGCAATGCGATGAACGATTGCTGAGAACGAAACGGATTAAGTTTGCTATGCGTAGGATGGCCGTAGCTCGCAGGATAGCGCGTCGCCGCCGAAAAGTTTCGGAGAGAAATTCATTGTTATAACATGTCTGTTGGTCAAATCCAATGAATGAAAACGATTCCTTGGTCCTTAAATTGTGGCTTAGCATGGCCACTTTTTCCAAAAGTCGAATTTTTAATTGATTTCTAAGCAATAATAGAGGCCGGTGCAGCCCATTCTCGGGCGCCGGGCGGCCGACCGGGCCGTGGCGAGCCGCCCGAGACATGGTCCCAGCCGCGCTAAGGGAGTTTCCACCCGCTGGTTTGGGCTACTATTTGCCTACTTTTCTGGCAACCACTTCCACATATCCTCAGTTGCCGAGGCAAGCGGCTTTCCACCATAATTTTTTAACCAAGACTCTAGTATGAGTATAATTCAAAATCCTCGTCTCAAAGTCCATAACTTTTAATAACAGCTTTTAATTTTCAGAGCGTACTTGTAGAGCGGTGTAGTACACTTTACTTTTGGTTACTTGCAGTGGGTGAAAAAGATGCTCACTTCGATGAGGATCTTATCGTTCAGCTTGATAATTAGACTTAGCCTTGGAGAAAATTTTACAGAGGAAAACCGCTTGCGTCATACTTGCGTCGGCAACCAAGGATATGTGGTAGTGGTTGCCAGAGAAGTAGGCAAATAGTAGCCCAAACACACAGGTGTCTGGCTAGCTGCATCATCTCCTGCATACTAGGCAGTTACTTAACAGCTGTGGAAATAAGTTACCTTGTAGGCAACAGCCCGCCGCTCACCAGTGTGTTTGGGATACTTTTAGCCAACTCCTCATTGATATATTAGGGCAAGATAAACCGAATGATGTAGTCAAAATTTACATTCGCCATGTTTAAAATCCGAGGATTCGAGCGTGAAGTAACTCGACCTATCAGGGAGTGGCCTCAGATATAGGTCGCTGCCTGTACACGGAGCAGGCGGTCTATGAATAGGGTTGGCTGCCTTTGATGTCACTTAATTCGGGTCCTTCACTGCAAAATCACCATTTTTCGGGTGCACTGTTTTACTTTCCCCCCTACAAAAACCACAAAACCCAAGAACTTCTTGAGATACTTTAAGACAATGAAGTAGGGACCTCAATGGACCTTCAGGACAAAAATTTCAAAAATCGATGATGGCGTTCGGTGGGAACTACACTGTAAAGTTCACTGTTTCTTCGTTAGAGTGAACTTTCTTATTTTCACATCTATCGACACCAAACCGACGCCACTTTATGCGAAATTTCATTTCCTTTCGAATGAGCACAGAATCACCACTCTAGGTCCCATAGGAGCCAAGATATTGGCACTTAAGTGAAACGCTGTTTTTACATTTTGCAAAATAGCCAAAAATGAGGTATGGCTATATCTCCGGAGGTATTGGAAATTGGCCAAAACTATTTTAGGGCATCGATCTTAACACTAATTGACGGCGATCCACCAACTTTGGTCCAAATCGGTGACATCATGGCTTTGGCTCTGGTTGACTTGGCATGGAATGACCCAAAAGAAGTCATGAGTTGTGCCTGTCACATGCAAATACTAGACGAAGAGCATTGATTCCGGTCAGGTAGTAAACCAAATTCGTGTTAAAATCGTTCGTACTTGAAATTTTGAAGAGTGGAGTATGTTTGGCCTCATGTTTCAAGCGAAAAGAGGTGTTTCTATTTTCCCTGCAAGGTAACCAAATTGTATTCCTTCTGGAACAGGCAGCCCGGGAGTAGACATAACCAGACATAACGGAACCAAATTTTAACCAGATTTATGTTGACATGATTGCCTACAGATTTAAACCTCGTTCGGACGAAAACCCGAGTTCTAACCGATGTTTCTGGGGAGGTTTTTACTAACTTCTTAAAACTTGTCAGAATTTGGAGGTTTTTCCTGTGGTTCTTAATAATTATGGCGCTTCTCTGATGGCCTTCGTGTGTTTCTTGTGAGTTGCCAAGGCCTCCTAGATCACAAAATAAAATTCACGGTGGTCTTCCGAACGTCCGCTAGAGAGCAACACGACTAAAACCGCAAAAAGTGCGCTCTGTCTCTATTTTCCCTGATTTCTCATACTACCCCGTCCTACGGTACCAAGGGAGACTTCTCGAAAGTCGTTATATTTAGTAAAATTGAAAAATCGTTATAGAACTGACTTCACTGCAAAAGAAGCTCCTTTCGTGGCAGTAAATTTGATATCCAACATGAAATTCTCTGCAATGAAATAAAACTTGGGCATGGAACCAGTTAGAAAAGTTACTGCCCAGCAGTGCAGAACTGAGTTAAATGACTTGTTGGAAAAGTTCCGGCAGGCATTAGATAAGCAGGGTAAAAGTGGTCGTAGCCCGACCAAATTTCCATGGTGCCATACAATTTTTGCCATAGAGAAAGGGAGCGCCAATCTACATGCTCCTGTTGTATACTCTGCTGGTGCAGCTCTAAATTACACTATAGAGGGAGCCAAAGCATTGGAGCCAGTAGATCGGTTCGACAAAGACCTTCCAAGAAGAAGAGCATAGATGTTCAGCAAGAGTAAGAAAATGTGGAAGACCCAGGGGCAGGAAGTGACAACGGAAGGGGAGTCGTCGTTCGGGAGTGTGGAGGCACTGCTACGGTCCGCAGACCTTTGACATGGACTCAAAATGTGCAGCAGAAGCAGATCGAAGCCCGGAATGAGCTGGTTGGAGAAGTAAGGCTGTGGAGGGAACAGCAGAACAACAGAAGCGGCGACAGAAATTCATCCGTGAAAGAAATTGCTGCCAGCATGCGGATGCTTGCAGATGCTGCGCTGGCCAGATACAAAGAAGATCCAACCCAAACGAAGAATCAAGAGTGAGGTACATTTGTGTACGGTACGGTAATGAGTAACTTGTAACATGACACCTGTTCAATTATTTGTTTCACAAAGTATATTAATGTTTTCAATGCTTGTTTTTTGTTTTTGTTTTTTTAGTAAGTTGTATTGAAGAGGGACTTGCTGAACGTGCTTGACTAGACTAAAGTCCTTCTTAAGTACTCAATTCAAGCATTCCCTGCTTTGTTTTATGAATAAGACTGTATGTTCCGATTCCTCCTTGTTCCTTCACCCATTAGTATTGTCAAAGTTCCAATAATTGACATGTAGTATAAATACACTGTAAATTCAAATGGCAGAAACCTTAATGGTTCGGCACAGAAACCACCAGTAAACGATTCTGAATTAAGTAGTCACAGAAACTGACATGGGCTCACAGAAACTGCTAAGGCGTTACGGTCTCGCTGGCCAACCTAACCTCACTGTGTCTCCGGACGCTTTTGCTGTTTTGGACATTATTTACATATTTTGATGAGTGTGCATACTTTTTCTTGCATTGTCAAGTCTATAAAGTAATATTTTCCTTGTGCGGTACATATACACTCTTTATTTCCAATAAACATCTCAAAGTCGCGGTGGAGCGAATCGCAATTGACGATTACGGTGCAGCGTTGTCCGCATTCCGTCGCCTACTGTGCGGACTACCGATTTCTGTGATTCGGGGCTCTCAGACCACTACAGATTCTGTCATTTCAATTTACTGTGTATACTTGTATTTGTATGTTCTTTACAGTTTTCAATGTCTTTGATAAGTTGATATTGGAGTGACTTGATAAGTACTTAATTCCAAAATTACTTTACTTGAGCATGCCCTGTGCTAGTGAAAGACTGTAAAGTCCTCCAACTCTTCTGTTTCTTTACCAAATAGTGCCAGCAAAGTACAACACACAGTTAATATGCTAATTACTCAATTTCTGCTGTAAGGACCTGTCCCTATTAAATAAATCTGCTCCTAAGAACCAAAATTCGAGCCACGGGCTCAACCCGGGAATCCCCGTTTCAAATGAACTCCGAGTGTCGCTTTTGCCACTGTTACATCACCATAGTGTGTCCGGACGCAATATTATCTTAACGTGATAAGTGGATCTGAGGGAACAGACTCAGTAGTAATATAAGTAAGTCCGAAGAGTTCAGGGAACAGATTTGTGCAGACCTCCTTCAACGCAACACAGCAAAATAGATTATTGAAGGTAAGTTAAGCCGCAGAGTTTAGCACTTTTCGTCTGAAGTCAACAGTTTCTTGTTTGAAGGGAACGTTTCGACCTTCCGTGTTCATTTTAAGAAGCGGTGCCAAAAGTAACACAAGTTCATATTTGAGATCCTCTATAGTAATGCAAATTTGCCAGAAAGTAGGTTGGTATGAAAAACAATGTAACAAAATAAAAAGCTTTTACTAAATAAATAAATACAAGCTTTGTCGCTTCGAAACATTTTGTGTTACTTCGTCCTTTAATTTGGCCAACATTATCAGATGCAAACTGAAACTTGTGCACTGAGAGTCTTGATCAATACCAAATACCTTACCTTGGGGAAATATTTGGACAATGATGGTTCTCCCTTATAGTTCAAAGAGCATTCTCGCGAAGATTTGAGTGAGGAGTCATCAGCTGTATTTGGACGATGAAATGTCCTAATATTGGGTGATAAAGTGTACCGTACCTACAAATTTACTCCTGGCTGTAATTTTTTTGGCCCGCCTTACGATTTAAAAGAAAGGGAGAGCCGGAGAAATCGCCACGTCGTACGTCGTAGCATAAAGATTGCGCCTTAGGGCCTTGGAGAAGCTAGAAATTCAAATTCTGAAAAAAATTGGGTTGCCATTTGAAAACTGCGCTATTTCCCTTAACCTGATGTTTTGCTCGCAAGCTCCGGAATCCGCTGTTTTCGGACCACACGGTTAACGGTTGGGCCTGTGTGCATAGAAAGCGGAAAAGATCGCATTATTGTTTGGGGGCATAAAAATAACCAGATTTTGACCTCTTAAGAGTGAAGTTGATCCTTAATAATATATCAATTTTTTTCACAGAATTTGCAATGGCTGTTTCCCACCTAGTTCTCTTACTGATGATATGGACTCAATCTTACGGTAACGTAAAACTTTCTACTGTAAAACGGTCATGGGCCGAATTGAAAGGAATATTATAAGTATCTCACAGCAACAATAATATCAATAGAAACAATAAAGTTTTTACAACACAAAAGAAGAAAAATACGATTTCAAGAAATCCTAGGAGTCACGAAGTTAATTTGATTATTGTGTAAGAGAAAGAAAAGAAGTGGTGTTGTGAAGTTGTGGCTCAGGGGACTACCAATGGCAGTGGTACCAATGTGGTCGATGTGCCACCCGTCGAAATTTAAACTTGACAGTAAATAGAAATCAAAATGCTGGTAAATTCAAAAAATTCCAATGCTAATGTATTCCGCAGTGTTCTGACAATGGAACATCTTTTAAGTCCATTATTAATAAAATGTTCTTAGCAGAAAGAAGGCAGTAAATTAATTTTCACGGGTTGGCAACTAGTTTCTCGGCGTCTGCGCCCTTGCGAAAATCGCGAAGCTGAAAGCACCAGCAGTCGCGCATTAAAAGTGCCCCTCCATTGTTGCTGACGTTGAATTGTTTGGCTTGTTTCAAAAGGCTATGGTTCTCTAGTCATGTTTTCTTCAATTCTGTGTAATAGTTCTCCCTTACAACGTATCAACACCACGACGGTTGGTTTGACAAACTTCATAAACTCGGGAGGGATGGTTTCGAAACGCGGGTGAGTCTTGTTCGAGGAACATGAGCACTGCAAGTCGCGAGGTGGAGCGACGTGGTCCTAGTGCTAACTGAATCACAACAACAACAAAACTGTTTTATTGACAGAAAAAAAAGTAATATTTGAGAAACTTTATGTCAGAAAAAAAGAACTTTTGTTTTGCTATTTTTCTGTTAATATTTTTTTAGAAAGTCATCACATAAAAATTGAAAATTTGTTTTATATGAATTTTCATAAGCAGGAAACAAAGAAAAACAAGAAAGAGAGCAAAATTAATACAGATTTCAAATGCTACAGTTGGTTAAACTGTTAAACAGGTTGCAAACCTACTGCGCATGTCCAAAAACACTCCGATCAAGAAGTATTATTGGATAGTTCTACCCGAAAAACTGCGTTCGAACCGACACCAATTCTATTGTTGCATCTTGTCTACCTGCAGTCAAACAAATTTTTCATTTCGAACGTGCTTTTTTTAGCTTTTGGAGTAAGCTGTACAGACCCAAAAAGAAGCTCGGCTATTGGTCCGCCCCGGCTCGGACTCCCCCCACTCCCTTTTTTTTCCTTTGACGAGTCGAGTTTTGCCATGGAAACGGCGATTTTGACAGCAAATTTCTCAAAATTGGCCGTTAACTTTTATACCAGATTTCAGCATGAGAATCAGCGTTCAAAGTTGTACAAGTCTGCAAAGTCTCATTAAGGTGGGAAATACCCATTAAAGCCTCTTTTTTTAAAGTGCCTAGTTTTCATTGAAAACTCTTTTCTACCTTAAGGAGTTTAATTTTGTCTTGTAATGTGTTCCTTATAGATTCCGAATTCAGCCAGACATTTAACCCAAGTACCCTATGAGTGTAGAAAACTTCGGCCAAAAAACAACGCTGCCAACCTTCGGTGCGCACGTTTTCTCGAAAAGTAATTGATCTCCAGGTCCAGGTATTCTGTACAGGATACTTGACACATATATCTAGTTCACACCGTCGCCCTTTTTTGAAAGTGAGTTCCAGTTTTTTGTAAATAAGGCTGAAAGGTGAAAATAGAGAGTCAATACTTCATTTTTTGCACTTTTCTGCCGTGTTTACAAAAAACTGGAACTCACTTTCAAAAACGGGCGACGGTGTGAACTAGATATATGTGTCAAGTATCCTGTACAGAATACCTGGACCTGGAGATCAATTACTTTTCGAGAAAACGTGCGCACCGAAGTTTGGCAGCGTTGTTTTTTGGCCGAAGTTTTCTACACTCATAGGGTACTTGGGTAAAATGTCTGACTGAATTCGGAATCTATAAGGAACACATTACAAGACAAAATTTAACTCCTTAAGGTAGGAAAGAGTTTTCAATGAAAACTAGGCACTTTAAAAAAAGGGGCTTCAATGGGTATTTCCCACCTTAAAATCGTATAGAAAATTTCCGAAATGCATAAAGGGCCACACAAATTGAATCTCGGGCCGGCTGAATCCTGGGTATACTATAAGGCTACTTCGTGCCTAAAAATTTCCAAACAGAAAGAATTCGATACCCGTAGTAGCCACAAGTGTTGCGAACACGTGTCGGCATTTTCGGAAACTTTTGAAAGAGGTAAGGGAGAGTGGGGCGATTCGTAACAAATGCGTTTGTTAATTTAAGTGGAGGGAGCAGAGGAAAATCTGATTACGGCCCCTGTTTCGCTTCAAGTAGAGGGTCCTTGAACAATTGAAGTGGATGTGATCGGTGCTCAGGTATAGTTTCGGAGGCAGTCTGAAATATAGGGTAAGGGAGAGTGGGGTAATTCCGGACATGGGGTAGTTCCGGACACTTCGATTTTCACTGGGTTCGAGTGAAGATAACTCAAAAGCCCGCCTAACAGAGGAAGATAATCTGTCAAAAATGATAATTCCAAATCGCCAAGGTAGGAGGTCAAACCGTTTGGCTGTGGTCGCTTCACGAAATTTGAGTACGATCAAAAACAGGCAAAAGCTGCATCTTTCCCTCGTATTTCCAAGTACTTATCGTACCTTACCTTACCGTCAAGTTCAGTCCCTTGACTAAAATTTTGTCATATTATATGGTCATTGGACTTTACTTTGGCGTTTCGGGAGTGCTCGTATGGCTCGCCGTTTTCTTACAATAGAACATCAAAGGTTTTCACTACCTGTGGGGTAAATCCGGACAAGAAGGTTTATTTTCTTCAATTTCCCGCATAATGTTAAGGTAGTGGGTTCAAAATTGTGGACATGTATCTCCACCGTTAAGAAGGATAAAGAAAGGACGAAGAATAGCATTGCAGCTATGTTTAAGAGCTTTACTCAAGACAGTGTTGTCAATTTAGGGGTTTTGATAGAAACTATTCCTTATAATATGCTTTGAGTAATAATCAAACACTTCAGTTCGCAGCAAATGTCCTTGTACGCCTTCTAAAAGCATGCCTCACATCAAAACAAGCGACAGTAAGCTCGAGCAGTGACAAATCATAAGGTCGTCCGGAATTGCCCCATAGGTCGTCCGGAATTACCCCAGCCTGGGGCAATTCCGGACACTTGCAGGGCTTTTGTTAGGCGCCTATATCTCCCTAACCGTTGCTGGGATTTGGCTTCCATGTATATCATTTTGAAGGTAAAGGTCCATACTTTACTCTCCTGTAATAACGTTTGACCCAAGAAGCATAATCAAGCTCAAAGACCAAAAAGAAAAAAAGCGTCCGGAATCACCCCACTCTCCCTTACACCGAAAACAGGCAAATCTTTTATTTTGGCATAGGGTAAACTATACAGTTACCGTCAGTTCAAGAGCATCGCTTTCTTTTCAAGGGCCTCTAGGGTAGGTTATGACACTTAGACCCGTGCGACTTGTTCCAGACACCTCAGAAGGATCTAGACAACGAAGTTGCTGACAAAGATTTCACTAAAAACTTTTTGTGACGCTCTTATTTAACCTGAGAAAAACGTTACCAAAAACACAGTAATCGGCAGCCAAAATACAGTTATCGGCACCCTTTATGACAGTTATCGGCACCCCTTGTTAAAAAGGCAATACATGACCGAAAGTGACGAAAATTTCTATCAGTCGTCACAGACACTCTATATCACCCCTTGACATGTCACGAACCCCCTCTCTCTTCTGTTATGCCTCTTGCGCCCTTCATTTTAGACTCACGGACAAGTAGCACCATGAGCTGCGAAAAAACAACCTTTTAAAGCGCCGAGGAGGACATTTCGTAAATCACGTAGATCACTGGGAAATAGTGGTCCGATTTCATTCAAATTTGGCAGGGGTCTTCCTACGGTCATAATGCATCAGAATATTAACTCCCGGACGACGCCCGAAACACCAGTGAAGTTTGAGGCCACCCTGACGATAACTGTGTTTGGGGTGATTTCTCTGGTGCAGTTATCGGCACCCTCCGAATGAGGGCAAGCAAGAGGAATTTCTGTGCACCAAGCACAGAATGCCCTCTTCAATAGATGGGGAGAAGGAACCTGGCAAGGAGAATAGTTTTTTCCGGCCCACTTCCACGAATTTAACGAAAGATTGAACCCCTGTTCCTAGCATGGAAGATAAGAACGGGCGGCCGAAGCGGCTTCATTCTGCACTTGACAAGAAACATGGCTCTGTTGGCTGACATGCTCAGTCAAACGCGATGCTGTCTCTCGGTCCTGCATGCTCAAAAGGTGTCTCTAGCGACCTGCATTGGCCGCATCACTAACGGACGCGTACTTGCAGAGCAGGACCCAATTATTCGCCGAGATGACGATAACTGTACCCCTGCCGATAACTGTATAGTTTACCCTACAGGACATGAGCCCCGTCCCGTTTGAGCCCCGATGGTCTGAGCCCCGACCTGAGCCCCAACCTGAGCCCGGGTTGAGCCCCGACCCAAGCCCCAATTTCCAGAGCCCGGATTGAGCCCCGACCTGAGCCCCGTTTGAGCCTCATTTGAGCCCCACTTGAGCCCCATTTGAGCCCCGCGACCTGAAATCACGCATTTTTGCATAATTTATTGCTATGGGGCTCAAGTGGGGCTCAAGTGGGGCTCAAATGGGGCTCAAATGGGGCTCAAACGGGGCTCAGGTCGGGGCTCAATCCGCACAGTAAAAAAAGATTCGCTGTTTTGGTGGTCGTTCTATATCCAATCTCACCGAAACGGGTACCCCCACAAGCCCGGCGACGGTCCTTCACCAAAACGGTGACCTGCGTCACCAGGTGGTGTTCCGCCAGAGAGGTTAGGATGACCACAACAACTGTTTTTGAGCTGTCTGTGCATATTTGTGCGTGCCCGCCGGCAATGTTACGCTTTGATGAGTCACGCGAATGATTACTGACAGCCCCTGACTTGTTTTGTGTCCTATTTCACATTAATACGACGGTTAAAAGTCGCTGGCGGGAGGGTGACTGCAGTGCCGTTCTGGTGAGGTGGCTGCTCCGGAACGGACCGAGCGCCACCGAAACTAGACCGAGCGTCGCCGAAACGAACAGAGGGCCGCCAGAACAGTTTGAGGGTGTCGCTGTTCTTGTAATATTCTCGTTTTGGCGCCCAGACGTCACCGAATCGGCGAATCTTTTTTTACTGTGCGGGCTCTGGAAATTGAGGCTTGGGTCGGGGCTCAAGTCGGGGCTCAACCCGGGCTCAGGTTGGGGCTCAGGTCGGGGCTCAGACCATCGGGGCTCAAACGGGACGGGGCTCATGTCCTGTATGCCTTTATTTTGAGTTCTAGGAAGTTTCTGTCTGAGGCTCCCCAGGTATGAATCACCATCAAAGTACCGTTGGGGCCTTGAAGCGTGACCCCTTTACAATGTAACCACGTGGCATAAATTGCCTTAACTTTGTCCAGTGATGGTAAGGGACGTATTCTTTGCGTAACAGGCATTTGGGGTGATTCGTAACAGACCCCTATAAAAGAAAGATTTTGAGTAGTTTATCCAATTAAATGCTTGAATTATTTCTCGAAACATCTGCTGCCTTATTCCAACACATTTACAAAGCACAAAATGCTTTTTAAAGCGAGTTATTCTAATCTATCCTCCGAAATTGAAAAAAAGTGTGGTGAGGGTTGACATAAATGCTGAGTCGGTCAACGGCAGCTTGTAATGTTGATTATAAGGCGTCTGCAGGACATCCGAAGAGCAACTGCTGGAGGAGATAACATTCCCGACGATTTTACATTTAATGTGTAGGATGTTATGAAACGCCCCATACTGGGGTGATTCGTAACTTCATGCAGGGGTTTGGAAAGCGTCTTAGATTTCAAATATTATGGATTCCACATTGATCCAATGGAGATGTGTAGTCTTAGATAAAGGGCCAGACTGCTCATCTGGCACAAGTTTGACACCGATATGCAGAGTATTGTTTATTTGTATAGAGAATTCCGAAATCTGTTACAAATCGCCCCACTCGCCCTTAATGGTGTCAGAACGTGGCGCCAGGCACCATTTTACAAGCTTTGCGCTCGTCCCCATTTCTGAAGCGTACCAAAGCTCAAATAAGTGACCAAGACATGTCTTAAGGCTTATAGGGATGATCAGGTCTGAAAATGCCACTCGATTTCCGGGGAGGGGGGAGAGGGGGGTAGGAACATTTCACGCGTACACAGCAAAAACTCTGCGAAGAACCGCTTTGTAATACGAAGAAAATGAAGGCATTGTAAAATTTTCGAAGAAATGCTTCGTATTGTGAAGCAAAATCCTTCGTAACACAAAGCATTTCTTCATAATACAAAGCAATTCTACAATGCCTTCCTTTTCTTTGTAGTTATGTAGCAAATGCTTCGTTGGCTTTTTAGAGTGTATCGGCCCACTCAACTTAAAAAGTTTTGTGTGGTATGATGGACAAAACGTTCAACAGTTTGGTCTTAACTGGTCAACAGTACACAGGCGAAGGTACGAGTGAAAAATGTCTTGCTTTGTTACAGGCTCAGAGGCGGTCCAGTTTAGGTTGCTCAACAAATGTGGATTTACAGTGTGGCCCGGTATGTTGACTAGTGGTGGTTCCGCCGAAGGATGGAAGCTCAAACCTCAAGAGACCATGACGATCAGCAGGGATGGAAACTGGTCCGGCCGTTTTTGGGGAAGAACAGGTTGCAAGTTCAATGGCTCTGGTGAGGGGCGTTGTGCAACAGGAGACTGCAACGGACTAAAGTGAGTCTACCATCCTGCACTGAAAATCAAATAGTGATACATCTCACTCTCTGAAGGGTGAGACATAACTGTATCACCGAAAAAGGGTGATACAAAAATGTATCCCCGAAAAAATGGTCGTACACGCATGTATCATCGCCACCGGTGCATACTCCCTCGGATCAACCCTTTCTTGCGGTCGCTCCCCTGTACGCTTTTTCTGCTCAGACAAGTCGCAATGGGGTACTGACACACAAAATTTCTATGTAGTTTTTTTGTGCATAAGCTATGCGCGAAACTGTGCATTCGTTTTTAAAATGTAGGAATTTGTGCGCAACTACGCACGAAAATGTGCCCACTGCAAGAAAAAGTGAAGATATGTTCTATCATACTAACAAGAGTACAACAGAAACTGTACAATTAAAGTACAACAGGGATTGTAGAAAGTACAACGAGAATTGTACAAACCACAACGAGCCCTGGACTGCACAGCGCTCCCAATGCCGGTTCCATTGTACTTTGAACAACAATTGTTGCACTTGAAAAGGACACTAACTTCCTGATAAAAAAAATTGCCTGAAATTTTTGTACTTTTGTTGTGGTTATTTCCTGCAGTGGCTTGTTGCACTTAAAAGTCCTGCATGTCTTGACTACTGCACTCTAAAACACTGTGAAAGGCATGCAGTTTCGTGCATGGCCATGCACAAAAAACTACATATTAATTTAGTGTGTTGACACAAAACTCAGTATGTCCCAAAATTTGACGTGTCTGCAACATTTTGATTCCCTTCGGTCCGACGGGACCAAAAGTGCATCTTTTTCTCAGCATGGCGTGGCAGAGGGCGCAATGCGCACCGCAATGACTGAAACCTATATTATCTTTCCAAGAATCAAGAGAGTCTACCATGTTAACCTGATCATCTTATTATTTTCTTCAGCTGTCGCGGAGGCGGCGTCCCCCCAGTGACGTTGGCGGAGTTCACACTGGGAGGGTATGGTGGCAACGACTTTTATGACGTGAGCTTGGTGGACGGGTTTAACATCCCTTTGAAGATACGTCCCAAAGATGGAAGCGGTTCTTGCAGGGTGACAAGTTGCAAATCTAATGTGAACGCTGTGTGTCCAAACGATTTAAAGGTAAGCAACAGGACGTGGGAAATTTGATGGAAAGAATGGTTATTAACCAGAATACTCGACTGAAAGAATCTTCGTTGAAAGGCTCTTTACCCATTTCGTTCGAGGCTCAGTAGCTCACTAAAGAAGAGTCTTCGCACACGCAAACTTAAAGCGCAGAACATTATTGTTAACAATCCTCACAAGAAGAAGAATCGAAAATTATTACAAAGAAAGGTCCGTTAAAAAGAATATTTTTGCACAAATTCCTCACAGGACGGAAAATACTGGCACATCAAATCTCGAAAATCCTCCCTAAAGGTAATATTATACGAGTTATCGTGCAGATAATACTTGATGCAGAGAATCCCCGCAAGACAGAAAACAATGCTCAGAGATTTACTGCGCCAAATAGAGTATCGTTGAAAATTAAGGGGACACGTTTTCAAAGTGGCCTCAAAACTCTAGTTTCCGAGCTAGGATTCCAAAACTTTGTCAGAAGGTGCCCCCAAGAGTCCGCGATTCCTGCAGTGAGCCGCGCCTGAATGGAAGGCAATCATCGGGTTTTCCCGTCTTTTCATGTTTCTGCCGGTCAGATTTGATTTTGATAGTGTTTTAAGGGAATAATTTTACAATTGTTTAAACAAACGAAATTCTTATCTCGTAGCGGACAATGCGGTGGTTATGCGAAATCTAAAAAAAAGTGTTACACTGGTGAAACTAAAACATAACTCTCTGCTTGGGTGAAGCATTAAGTTACGCTTGCAGACATTACGCTTGAAATGAAGCATACACCAGGAACTGCCCCATGCATTTACATAGAGGGAATCTCGGCGGATGAACCCGGATGAACCTGTTACGCTTGTTTTCAAGCGTTAAGGGGGCAGTAGCGTCTTTTGCACGTGTTTTGACGATTTTCGAACCTCCTGTTTAGACGTTAATATAAAGATAAGTATGAATGCCAGAGGCAAACGGCAGGCACCATTTGAAAGATAAAAGTTTTAACAACATTTTCAAAAAAAAATATTTTGTTGTAGCATTGAATTAGGATGTTTTGTGTTATATGCAAAAATGGTCTGCAAAATTACATGGTTTCACTGCGCGCACGATTGCAGCCAAAGTTTTTAACTTTTTACCAATCGGTAAAATGCATCTGAAAAAGCATGAAATTGCCCATAAAATGCCCCTTTGGGGTTTTTAATATTGGGCCAGAAAAAATGTGGTTCGTTTCCATCTTAAGTTGAAGATGAGCGTTTCAATAGTTTTTCTTGCCCAATATTGAAACCCAAGGGTCATTTTATGGGCAATTTCATGCTTTTTCAGATGCATTTTACCGATTGGTAAAAAGTTAAAAACTCTGGCTGCAATCGTGCGCGCAGTGACACCATGTAATTTTGCAGACCATTTTTGCATAGAACACAAAACATCCTAATTCAATGCTAAAACAAAATATTTTTTTTTTGAAAATGTTGTAAAAACTTTTATCTTTCAAATGGTGCCTGCCGTTTGTCTCTGGCATTCATACTTATCTTTATATTAACGTCTAAACAGGAGGTTCGAAAATCGTCAAAACACGTGCAAATGACGCTACTGCCCCCTTAACTGATTACCCTTGCAAGCATGGTTTTACTACGCTTGAGTTTTACCAGTGCACTGTGCCCAACCCTTCCCGTCGTAGGTCAAGGTCTCCGCACACCTGATTTCTCATACCCGATCAATGTACTTCTTCTGGTTGGGTTCCGGTCCGGATCGTGTGGGGGAACTCTATTGCAAGGAATTGCAGGACGACTAAACTTCAAGTTACCGATCAAAAGCACCCTCTCCCTGTTGCTATTCTTCCGCGTATCTTCTCGGCAACGTGTTTGATAACCCTGCTATCGGACCGAACTCCCCCAAACGGCACAAGAGCTCCTGAGTCAGTGGATCATGCCGCGGCGCCTCTTCGGGGAACCCCGGGGACGCCGGCCGGGTCACTGAACTTGTGTTTGTTTTGCTTTGCACTGGGGCCAGATAAAACCAGTCTCGCTCACGAGGTCATGTGGGGTTTTCGGGCCAAGGCCGGCATAGGGTCGACGGGGGACCCCCTGCCGCCCGTTGGGCAAGGTCACGGGCAGTGGGAGTCCACAGGATTCACTGAACGTGCTACGTGCATTAACCGCATTAACTGACGTCAATAGAACAATATTCATATTCGGCGAACATGCACGGTAACAACGGTACCTGGTTTTCCCAGGAAGTCTATGTTAGAGACATAGGCGATTTCCAGGGAGTTCCCGTGAAAACCAGGAACCGTTTTTACCGTGTGCCAACAAATGAATTTCTTGTTTCGTTTTAAGGTTTGGAACGGGAACTCCGTCGTGGCATGCAAGAGTGCGTGCCTTGCATGGGGGGAGTCCCAATACTGCTGCACTGGCGCTCACAACAAGCCGGCGACCTGCCCACCATCCACTTTCAGTCGGATCTTCAAGGACACTTGCCCTGACGCCTACAGCTATGCATACGACGATCTGACAAGCACGTTCACGTGTTCAAGTGCAAACTACGACATTACTTTCTGCCCATAGAGAGCTCAGAGAACAGACAACGTTTCAGGGAAGATGAAAAGGAAAGTGGCGATTTTAAAACAGAAATTCAACCCCTTCACTACAAGTGAAATATTTACGAATTTCTTTATTATTATTACGGTTATTCTATAAATGAATGTAAACTGAAACAAATAAAATTTTTCGGGAAAGTTGTCGGTTACGAATATTTTATCCTATTATAACTGAGCTCGACGGAAATATGCCGGTTTAATTTATTATTTTGAGGAAGGAGCCTACTGTAAAGAATGGCCAAAATTGTCCAAAACAGTACGTTTTGTATTTGTACAGTAAGTTGTTGTACAGTTGTAAGTTATTTGTACAGTAAGTTTGTAAGTACAGTAAGTTCTCAGCTTTCAGATATTGCGTAGAAGGTTTCAGATTGAGTGGTTTCAAGCTTAAAGTTATGTGTGTAGTTTCTCGATCATTTGGAAACACTAACTACGGATACGCGCGGTTTAGTTCGGGCGCGTAGTGACAGAGCGATGCGACTTGATAGCGTTAGTGCACGTCGGAACTCGCTGTGCACGGATGGTCTTTGTGACATTGGAAGCTGCCACGCTTTTTGCGAACTTACAGGCGCATGACCTGGATTGCTTCTCAATACTATTATCAACTATTATTTGTCTAATACTAGGGGTACGCGCCGTTTAGTTTGGGCGCGTAGTAGGCGAGCGATGCGTCTGAACACATTCTTATAGGAGATGGCGAAGAATATGTGCAGAATAAGGCCCAATACAGTGTCTTCCGTAACGAAAGGGCCGGAATTCATGTCATTTTCGTGATTATCTTACTGAAAACTGCAGGAAACAATGGGAAACTCAACTTTGAAATTTCGGTCACAAATTGGTAAATTTCGGGAAAAGTAAAGGTCTGGGATGAAATTGGGAGTTAATTTCGTGATCAGCACACCAAAAAATGCAGGAAACCATGTAAAACTCGACTTAAGAATTTTGGTCCGAAATTGGTAAATATTTGGAAAAGTAAAGGTCTGGGATGAAATTGAAAGTCATTTTCGTGGTCAAGACAACAAAAACTACAGGAAACTATGTAAAACTCGACTTAAAAATTTTGATCCGGAATTAGTAAATTTTGGGAAAAGTAAAGGTCTGGGATGAAATTGGGAGTCATTTTCGTGATCAGCACACCAAAAACTACAGGAAACTATGTAAAACTCAACTTAAAAATTTTGGTCCGAAATTGGTAAATTTTGGGAAAAGTAAAGGTCTGGGGTGAAATTGGAGGTCATTTTCGTGATCCTCACACCAAAAACCTACAGGAAACTATGTAAAACTCGACTTAAAAATTTTGGTCCGAAATTGGTAAATTTTTGGAAAAGTAAAGGTCTGGGGTGAAAATAAAAGTCATTTTTGTGATCAGCACACCAAATACTGCAGGCAGGAAACAATGACTCACTGAGGAAATTTTGGTCCAAAATCATGTAATTCTAGTTGAAAGTATGGGTCTGCAGTTGTTAACATGAACGCAATTTCTAAGTGTGTTTCCTGTTCATGGTGTCGTAACATGAACCCTGACAGTGTTACTCAGTCGAGTAACATTCAACAGTCAGCACACTGCAAATGCAAAGGCGATACTTAAGTACATTTTTTGGTGATACAATTGAGTATCGCCCACAAACGGCATTACGGAAATGTATTCCCCTCAGAACGGCGATACACAGAAGTATCGCCAAATTTGGCGATACTTTGGGTATTCCCAAAAACCGCGGCATTGAACTAAGGACTTGTCCCCTTGTTTTGTTCAACGTTAATGCCAAATCGTGGCAATACCCCGAAGTATCACCAAATTTTGGCGATATTTTGTGTATCGCCGTTTTGAAGGCAATATTTTTCCCGCAAGGCCGTTTATTGGCGATACTCAATTGTATCGCCAAAAAAGGTTTTAAAAGTATTGCCTTTGGCTTTGCAGTGCATTGAATTGCTTAGTACGATTCAAAAATGCTTAAATTTACCATTCGATATCTCCTTGTTATTGAACTTATGAATACGCAATGTTTTTTGTAATACCAAAAAGCCTTTTATCTCCCTTTATTTTAAACTAGTGGATAAACTATATTGATTTATCTAAATTAATTAAAAAAAAACCATTTACAGGCGGGCTGTTTGCTGATCCAATGAATCGTTCATAGAATCCAATGTCGAGCTGCTAAACACAAGTTTTTTTCAAAATGATAGTGGGGTATCCCCAACTGTCCACCAATCCAACTTCCCCCCAAGAAAACTATCCACCAATAAATCTGTCCCCCATTTAAAACGGATTATTTGACAATTTATTTAATTTTGGTTGCCCCATTTAAAGCTAAATAATAAGAATGAAAAATGCAAAAAAAATGAGCTGAGCTCACTACTTCCCGTGTAAGTTGCCCTAAAAAATTTTTTAAAAATTATCAAACAATTAAAATAATTTCAAAAAATTATTTTAAAAACGGGGGGCATAAATATGCTGCCGTGATGTCACTGTGGACACTATGAAAAATTTCAAAGGCTTAAAACCAGGTGACGGGCTGCCTCTAAGCTAGAGAGCCATCTAGGCTCCGTACTCTTGGCCGAAAGGTTCCGTCACTAGAAAAAGTGCGCAACCAGTCCCAGGCAGACCGCGCAGTCACGGTTGCGGTGAGTTTGGCGTACTCCAGGTTGTGAGGCCCTTGAGTCGTTCAAGCACGCCGAATAGGCCGCGCCGCAGGTAGGTAGGGTTTTGAGGCGTGCTTGGCGTCCTCCAGGTTGGGGGCCCTTTGAGTGGCACTAGCACGCCGCCAAAGCCGCGCCGCAGCCAGCGTGAACGGTGGTGGCGGCGCGCTGGAGGAACGCTGGCTGCGGCGCGGCCTAGGCGGCGTGCTTGCGTGACTCAAAGGCCCTACAACCTGGAGGACCCCAAAAGCACGCCTCAACGACACGTGGCCTACACTCACAAAAAATGTCCTGTCAACGCCGTTGATTTATTCCCAAATGTTTGCTGTTATGCAATTCACGGCGTTTGCTGTGAACTAGATCACAGCGTTCACTGTGATCTCGGTTACAGTGTTCACTGTGATCTGGCCACAGTAAACGCCGTGAATTGGAGCCTGATTTGCAGCATTCGGTTTCAGCGGCGTCAAACTCACAGTGTTTACTGTAAACCAGATCCAGTGAACACCGCGAGCAAGATCACAGTGAATCGCGTGACCAGATCACAGTAAACGCTGTAAATTTGACCTACAGTGAAAACTGGTAAAAAATTTAACGGCATTGACAGGACATTTTTGGTAGAGTGTACGCGGCGTCGTGCGCGACTGAAGGGCTCTGCATCCCGGCGGCCAAGCACCCCGACGCCCTGGTGGCGAAGCTGCGTGACGCACGAATGACGGGGGCGTTGAGGCGTGCTTGGCGTCCTCCAGGTTGTTGGGCCCTTGAATCACGCTAGCACGTCGCCTAGGCCGCGCCGCACCCAGGTGTCCTCCGATTTTCTGAGTTCAGCACCATCGCCACCCTCGGGGCCCTTGGCACCTGGCGGCCTGGGCTGAGAGCCGCCACGCCGCAGCAGCACCCGGGGCCGGTGCCCCGCTAGTGCCTATCGGCACTCCGTCTCTCTCCCCCTCGCGAGACATTCCATGGGGGTGTGAGGGAGATGGAGTGACGACGCACAGGGGGTGCAGGGGTTCCCGACGAGTTGCAAGTTCTTTTGAAAACATTTATTGCTGAGTCGTCTTCTTTTCCCTGTTCACTGTTTAATCTTTGAAATCTTTTTGAAATTTTACTCTTTCTATACTACCTAAAGGGAGGGAAAAGTGGACTCACGGACGACATCCATGGATGCATTTAATATTACAAAACATGCCAGTTTCGGTAGAAACTAGGCAATTAGAAAGCACGCCTCAACAGTGGTGGCGTAGCACAGGAGGACAGGCTAGGCTGGCTGCGGCGCGTCCGCGGTGGCGTGCTTCACGACTGAAGGTTCATGCCATCGGAGGCCATGAACGCCGTCACCCCGGGGTGAGGCTGAATGCGGCACGAATGACAGGGGCGCCTGGAGGACACGTGGCTGCGGCGCGTAGGGACGTGCTAGCGTGATTAAAGGGCCCAACACCCGGAGGACGCCAAGCACGCCTAACGGTGGTGGCGGCGCGCCTGGAGGACACGCTGGCGGCGGCGCGGCCTAGGCGGCGTGCTTTCGTGACTCAAAGGCTCTACAACCTGGAGGACGCCAAGCACGCCTCAACCGTAAGCTACCTGCGGCGCGGGGCCCATTCGGCGTGCTTTAACGACTCACGAGCCTCACAACCCGGAGTACGCCAAGCTCACCGCAACCGTGACTGCGCGGTCTGCCTGGGACTGGTTTCGCATTTTTTTATAGTGACGGAACCTTTTGGCCCAAAAGCACAGAGCCTAGATGGCTCTCTAGCTTAGAGGCAGCCCGTCACCTGGTTTTAAGCCTTCGAAATTTTCTAGTGCCCCAGTGACGTCAAGGCAGCATATTTTTGCCCCTACGTTTTTAAAAATTTTTAGAAATTTTTTAATTTTTGATAAATTTTTTAAAAAATTTTTTAGGGCAACTTCTATCAAAACTTTACTCCTTGACAGTATTTTTTTATTTCTTTACCCATTATTTTAAAAATTAGGTGTACTTTATATTTTAATATTATATATGTATTATAATTTTTTCTTAGGGGGACACAATAATACGGGGGACGGAAAAAAAAGGTGGAAAGATATAGCCATCCCCTGATAGTCATGATGTTTTTAATTTTGAAACAGTATAGCATAAGTATTTACCTAACTTCTGAGAAATTAAGGGGGCTCATAGGAGTGGCCCGTTTATATGACACACTTTTTATAAAAATAAATGCTATATTAAGGCAATATCTTTAGAACTATTCTAAAAATTTTCACTGCTAGCCCCTTTCTTTGTGGAAAAATAAATATTTTTTTAGAAATTTTTTTTTATACTCAGTAAATTCTAGCGCAATATAGAACTAATATAAATTTTTTTTAAATTTTTTTTAATTTTTTTTTTCATATAAGTCAAAAAAGAATTGTATCGGGTAATAGCAAATATTAATAATAAATAATACCGTATAATTAACGGCTGTTCGGTATCTCGTGTGTCGGTGCCCCCTTTTGCTCCCGCCTCTCCCCCCTCCGGGCCCTTTTCATGTCTTTTCCCTTTTCCCCACTTTACCTTTTTGGGTTGTCCTCTGGGCCCCCGCCTAGAGATTTTTGCGGGTTTTTTATAGTCGGAAAGCGAGGGCTCGCCAGAGAGCAGCACAGTCGACCCCAATCAGTTGTTCAAGCAAATGCCTCCGCCAAGCGTTTTACGCTATTACGCTTGGCGGGGCTAAGTTTTCTATGATCAAATTAATTTTAGAGAGCTCAGACGACACATGTTTCGACATGTCAGCGATATTTAGTCGGCGGCGCTGAGCTTTGCCTTCGAACCCTTGGGGCCCCCGCCTCACGTCGTCTGCCGCGGTCTGCTCTTCAGGCAACGCGACCGGCAGCAAAAAATGAAAGGAAACGCGTGTTTTAGCATTATTTTGACATTGACAATTGTTTAGGATGTATACTTATGGTTGGAGGGTAAACAAGGTTACTTAAAATCATACTGATTATTGATAAGCGTCTAAATATGACGCGAAAACCACGATAAAATATTAGCTGTACTGGTGAGTCCCACTAAATCGCGATGCTTTTAAATATTATCTTATGTTTTGTCACATTGTATTCTATTCTGATGTAATTTCTTGCGTTTTTACATGTTCCTGACCATTTGAAACCTTATGTTGGAGAGTATGAAATGTTGGAAACTGAGAAATGCGTAGTGCTTGTGTAGCAGAAGGTCAGGTTCGTGTTCAAATCAACTTTGTTGTTTATAACGGTCTTTGTGACTACCAATGTAAATGTCAACGTTCTTTCGTCATGGCTTCTATTATAAAGCTAATTGCCATCACAAACCATTTTTCCAATGATTCATTCAGACTCAATAGAGGAGAGGATCCCCTTATATCAGGTCTTGTTATGGCCTGCAGTGTTGACAGGGAGAATGGCGTCATGGGGAAAAGTGCAAGCCAGTCAGAGGAAAAAAGTTCGAGAAGTCAAGGTATTTTAATATTTTGTGAATAAATAATAAATTTTACCTGAGGTTTGCAGGACAACCAACTTATGTTGTCTTTGTTTTCTAGGTGTTCTATCAACTTGAAGTGAAAGCGGACGTGCTCGTGTCCAATAGGAAAGTTTGGAAAGTGCCACCACATTGCTGCCCTACTTCTGTATGCAAACAGGAACATCAGTTCCACCGATCACTTATTGACAAACATATATATAAAATTATAATACATTGAAGCACTAAAAATAACATTCCATTTTTTTATTTAAAAAAATGACAAAGGAGTACATGATTACAGACAACAGACTTCACCACACAAGTCAACTTTTAAAAAATACAGTTTGGATACACTAGTACTTAATTCATAGCTTCATAGTCATCTTTTTAAAAAAATACAGTAATTATTATGGAAACCAGGAATGTATCACTCACTCCTCGTCCTCCTCATCACAAAATTTGCACCTTCCATTAAGAGACCAGCCACTTTAGCAATAAGGGGTTTTTGAAGATTTGTCAGACCACAGCACACTTGAAACACCATAGTAGCTCTTGGCGCTAAAGATGTAGGGATGAAGTTCAGAATTTTGTAACGCTTGATTCTTTCAATAGCTCTTGCCACACAAACACGTGTCTCAGAAATTTTTCTTGAATGAATGATTTGCTGTTCTGTAAACTGCACTGTTGTTTTGAAAGGTGGTTGGATTAGAGACACCAGCTGGAAGCAAGTCTCCAATGAGGAAGCCTTTGTCTACCATTACACTTTCACCGGGTTGCAAAACTTGGGCTACCTTGGTGTTCTCAACAACAGCTTTATCTGATGTAGATCCTGGATACAATTTAGAAGCAAACACACACGATCCATTGGGAGCAACACCTACCAATCCTTTGAATGTAGTTCGGTGTTTGTAGTGACTGTAAGTCAGATTATGTTTCCTCATGTTTTTTGGAACAGCAGTAACTACTTCAGTAAAATCGAGAACAATTCTACATGTAGGAAACGGTTTGAAGCAATCAGGAAGGCTTTGCTGCCCTTTGGCTAAAGAAGGAACAACTCTTATAAACCCATCAAAAAGTACAGTGTGCAAAGCGCTCACCCATGTCAACACAATATTGCTCACTGCAGCCTTACTACAATGAAACCAATCAGCAAGTGTCTGAAGGCCCAACCCTAATTTTCAACGTATCAAAGTCATAAACAACTGGTTCTCCCTAGAAAAACGTTCAACATTGAAATTGTATTATGATTAAGTAAAATTATTAAACAAAGAAAACAGCCACTTGAAAGTCCCATATATGGGCAGACCATTATAATGTGAAACTTTGCAATCAAGAGTACAAATATTCTCAATTTGCAGTCGATATTTCTCTGCTGTCAGCTGTTCTGAGAGTTCCTTCTGAGCCCTAAGAGCTGTGCACTTAGCGGTGTTACTTTTCTGAAGGGCCTCTTCTACAGATGCAAGTTTAATGTTGACATTCTGTAACATTTCCTGGTCTTCCTTTGATTGAAGTTGAAGCTGAAGTACTGTCTCCTTACATTCATTCAATGCAGTTGTTTTATTAATCATGCTTTCTTGCAATGAAGCAACCACAGTCTTCAACCTACTGATAATTTTTTTATCTCTGATATTGCTACTACAAGAGAATTATTATTTTCTTCAAGTTCTTTCACCAACAAACGATTATGAGTTTGAAGTGTTGACAGGTACTTTTTGATGTACTTTTGCTTCTCCGATTGAGATCTGAATAGTCTGCGACCCTCAGCCAACTTTCGAAGAAAACGCTCCTTCATATCACTGTTGGATGGAGTGGACTGTCCATTGCCTGAACCCTCAGAAGTGACAATGTCAGAGGATTTGTCAGTCATGGGAGTTTCAGGAGTTGTAACAGTAGTGTCTGCAGTTTGAATACAATCCACATATCCATCCAGTGGAATAATGAGAACTGCAGAAGAAAAGAGAAAAGTCAAGTCTCAAAAACTAAATACAAGCTAAAAAACTGTTTAAAAACAGGTTAATAAAACTCACCATTATCAGAGTTCAAATCATCAATGATGGGATCAGGTCCAGTTGTTTCATTCATGGAAACACCAAATACTGCAAACAAAGGTAGATAACAACGTGGACAAAAAACTACAGACTAAAAAGTAAATACTGAGAGTATTTTAAAAATGTACCATCATCAGATCACGAATCAGCCACAGAGAAGGTGCCCTGCATAATAGGCCTTTTCTTTGGGCTGGGCAACAACAAGTCAGGCTCGCCTGGTCACAACAGCTTCTTACGAGCACTTGCAGGCTTCCTGTTGAACAAATAAATTACACAGTTGAGAGACTTAAAACAAGATCAATTCACTTAGTGAATGGTATAAAATTAGTCATAACTTACTTCTTAGAACCCTCTGGGGACCGAAATATGTGGTCATATGTGGGATTTCTTTTGAAGACTGTAGGACTGAAGCAGGAGGATGCATTCCAAAAATTACAAGAGCACACCACATCATTGTCATTGGGCAATCGATCACCACGTCTAAAAATGATTATAGAACACTGTAAATATTAATCCCTAACAAGATTATGTTTCAGTAAATGAAAATACAATAAAATACTGTACCTCACATTTCTCACCCAAAGTCTGCGACGATTTGGATTCTTCGGAAAGCGATGAAAATATCAACTATCTTTCCCCGACTTGTGATTGCAGTCTGGCGCGAATCAAACTTTCATTTTTAACACAAAAATTTACGAAGCAGCCGAGAATTTAAGTAATCCGACGTAAAAACAGACACGACAGCTAGGTTGTTGTTGCCCTGTGTCGCGAAATGCCGACCCACGGCCTTCTGCTTGTTGGCCCCCAAGCGAGGGGGCTGAGACGGCGGAGGGGAGCGGTGGCCGGCATACCCGAAACCCAAAAATATCGATACAATCGAAACCCTTACCAAGGTTAGTTTGGTTAGGTTAGGATAGTCGATGGTTATGTGGTTACGGAATGCTTAACGTGTTTGCAGTTTGATCTAGACTTGTGAGCCTTTCAACCGATCATACTTGATTCGGTATTCTTCTGGATGTTCAATGGGGAATGAGATAAGTATTATCAACACGCTGGTTACCGTAGAACTGACTTCCTTCAACTGTCGATATCTCGCTCTCGAGTCACAGCCTTATTGAGCCATCCATAACAATGCCGAATATCCTTCCCATTTCCGTTTCCTTTTACAGCAATTGTTGGCTCGTGAAGCGTGGACGTGGACGTTGAATTGTACGTGTGTGTCACCTGTTGTAAATCCAATCCAATATCATCATGGCTGCTGTGTCATCATCTAGCGGTGGTAAGATCATGAAATTATTGCGAACTTTAGTTTGTTCCAAAAGGCATTCTAGTTCAGCGATGTGAAAGTTAGCCAACGAGAGAACGGTTCGAGCGAGCGAACGGCCTATCAAGCGAGCCAACGCGGTCATGTTTTACTCTTTAAAGTAAGATTTTTAATCAGTTGACCGCGTTTGTGCTTCACGCTCCGCAACTCACCACGATTCTGTTCGCGCGAATGATCACATCACGAAAGTGGCTTTCTGTTCCTGGGTTCCAGTTGTTCCATAGCGACTTACAGTGCTCCCTGTGTACCCCCGACCCTTGGCGAGCTCGCCGTGTGACAGGGGTTTGACGAGTGGAGCCTAAACCCGGACGGTCGCCAAAACGTCTGACCTGGTATGGACCGAAAGGTGCCCCACAATGGAAAGCAGGTAGCACGGCGAGCCCGGCAGAAGTCGTGGTCGGCATCAGGCCTCAACGCTATCGCTTTTATTGGCTTCTCGGTGCGTGAGCTCGACCCTCGCCGTCCCTTGCAACTTCACTGTTTCTTCTGTTCTCTCCAACCTGGACTTGTCAGCCGAATCCTCAGTTTGGAGGCAGGGAGCACTGTTCTTCCAACCTCCTAGTTACCTTCATCTATTTTCCTAGATTAAATTCTCTGTTCTGTTGTTGCAGAATCATCTTTGACCCCACCTGACCACAACGATGGGGCTGCTGCTCCACCTGCCCTTGATGATTCAACACCGGAAGAGGGCCTTCAGGTGCACATTCACCTGGACCTTGATTCTGAAAGTAATCTATTTTCTATCAGTTTCTTCTTATTAGTTATAAGGTAGTCCCCGTGAACCTTAAGGATCTTAACTTGCAAGACTTAGTGGATCTGATAGTTTGGAACTTTTCAGAATTAAATGTTTTACTATGAAACTTTTATCTACATTTTAAACCTTACATAGATAGTAGAATTCCTTTGCACCCCCTCTAAAGTTTGCATTTGCCGTTACGCAGTGAAAAGTGCTGATGCTGGCAAAAGCGCTTAGATAGCAGTGTTTTTTTTTTAATTTTTTTAAATGCATTATTGTGTTTCAGCGGGAATGCGACAGGCTAGAGCCCTGCTATCAGCTATCTTCAGTGATACTCCTCAAACTGCTGCCACTGCTGCCGTCCCCCCAGTTCCAGCAGTTGCAGCTCCTGTTGCCCAAGCTGCTCCGCCAGCTCCACCCATGGTTGCACCACCAGCTGTCCCAGCTCAATTTAATTTTCCGGGACTAGCTGTGGCAGCACCACAGCCAGCAGACAATGCATCAGCCCTGCAACAGCTACTGCAGCTGGGTTAGTAAATACACTACAAACCCAACTGTCTCCTAAGTACACACTTACAAATGCATGCTTCCAAGTACACAATTACAAACGCATGCTTGACGCCGTATAACTCCATGTGTCAAGCATGCGTTTGTAGGTGTGTACTTGGAAGCATGCATTTGTAAGTGTGTACTTAGAAGACAGTTAGGTTTCCTGTTTATGTTAATAACTATCACTGTCATCCCCTCATGACAAACTGTGGTTTCAATGCCTATTGATGTTTTTTTTATCTTTCAACTTAGGAGTTGGAGTTACCCCGAGGCGTCGTCCTGGCAGACCAAGCAGGGCGGAGACAGAATTCCGAGCTATGATTAACAACATCACCTCTCAAGCTCAGTCGCAAGCTCAGGTCCAAGCTCAGATCCAAGCCCAGATCCAAGCCCACATTCAGGCAGCGGCCCAGCCATCAGCCCAGCCACCAGCCCAAGCCCAGCCACCAGCTCAGCCTTCAGCCCAGCCTTCGGCCCAGTCACCTGCTCAGCGCCCACCTCTGCATTTTCCCATGCTTTGTAATCTGTGTGGGCGATACCAGGCTGACGTATTAGTGCGCCAATGTGGACATATTGTTTGCAGGTCTTGCATTGTCCCATACCTAACTTTGAGGCCAGTGTGCCCGGTGCAAGACTGTAATATGCCGTGCAACATGGCAACAGACCTGGTGCCTATTTCAGCTCGCTAATGTTGTCGGACGTTATTTAAAGTAAAGTGCTTCTATGACGGATTTAGTTCATGTTTGCTGCCTTTTTTTCTCTATTTTCAAGTCTCTAGGCTTTAATTGATTGCTTATTCTTGCATTAAGCTGTTTTGTATCATGTTACTTTATTTTGTGAGTGAACTCATTTCTCTTTTCATGTGATTTTACCTTGTCTCCTATGTTTCCTAATCAGGTTTTTGTTCATTTATGTTTGCTAATTATGTTTTGGTTCATTAATAAATGTTGATGCTTTCTAATTTTTTTAATTCTTTATGAGCTTTTTCCCTGCAGATCTGTTTGCTTTTATTGGCAAGAGGGGAAGTAAATTTGGGTCCCATAGTGAGATTGGCCAGACCAGCGCAGATCGTAAAGTGCTGATGACAATGACACACGGTAGGATAGAGGGTGATTGAAGTTTCATATCTTGTTTTCTACCTTAACTTGCGAGAAAATATTTAAGTAATGAAGGTCTCATTTAAGATGAAATTGGAAAGATTACGTCCAACACAACTGCCTGAAGGGAGACTTCCCTTACCTACATTTTCCCCAGTGCCCTAGGGAATTTGGTGCAAAGCAGCAAATTGTGTCACTTCTGATTGAAATATTCCACCTAGGTGATAGTGATGATCCACTTCATCGTAATGATAACTTAAGCTGCCATAGTGGTTTGCTGATGTATACAAAATCGTGGCACAAGAGCTGAGCGGCGTTCAGTTATAATTAAGACTGATTTTGACTGCTGAACTGAGAGCACGAAGCTACTTTTTTTTTTAACATGTTTATTGGCTATAGGTAGTTTCATAACAATTTGTGATAGAATATTTAACAATAACAATGGTCAATAATAACAGATTGAAGTGAAGTGCGCAGAAATTGATGACCATTAATTTACAATTAAAACATTGGGCTTTAAGAGTTGGACGTCTCGCGATGCTCCTCTGCTTCAGGACAGCGGCGGCGGCGGAGGGCTTATTGCCACCGAAGTGGGTTCGGCCCCCCGTGTCCTACACCAACCTGAAACAGAGGAACATCGTGTGAGTGCCAGGCAATTACAACAGTTAAAAGGATCTCTAGTTAAGTGCAGGTTAAAATGAAAATAGAAAATAAATAAACTGGGGACTTAGTAGAACTGTAGTATTAAAACATTATCATGAGGCAGATGACAGTAAAGTAGGCGAAAATATCACACTTGTTACTTAGACAATTAAAGTTTGACTAGAGATTCAGACTAAATTTGACAATTAAAAGGAACACTTAGCTGTTTTTCCCACTCTCCCAACCGTCGCGCTAGCTGCCGAGTGGTGCTCCTCCTTGCTGCGGCGAAGCTCCGCTGTCGTCACCGCCCACGCGCTGCCGACATGAAGGCGTGGAACTTGTCGAAGTTGTGGTTCCTGTTGTCGACCAGGTACTCCACCACCCTCCCAAGGAGCAATGTCACCTCGTCGTCGTCATCGTCCTTGACGCCCAGGTCCGGCACCAGGAGGACTCCCGGGGCCAGGGTGGAGGGGGCGACGCCGGCGAGGGCGGCCAGTCGCGTGGCCGTCCAGGCCCAGATGTCCTTGGAGGATGCCTGGCACTCGGTGAGGCGGTGCAGCACCGTGTCCTCGGCAGCCCCGCAGGCACGGCACGCCGCGTCGGCAGCCTGGCGCGTGGCCTTGAGCCGGGCGTTGGTCGGGAGGACATCGTGGACGGCGCGGAACCAGGCAGCGCGGGCGGGCAGCGGCAGGGCCTTGGAGGACACCCTCCTCCACACCAAGTCCCAGTTGGCGCCGGGGCGGCGCTGCTGCACGCGCGGCACGGCGGCGGCGCTCTCGAGGATGCTGCGGTACATGAGGCGGGACAGCGCCCTGCCCTGGGCGTCGTCCGGCACGTCCACCTTGCGGTACGTCGTGCGCGCGCTGCTGAAGTAGCGCACGGCGGGGGACACAGCCTCGTCGTCCTCGAAGAGGGCCTGCAGGACGGGCAGCCAGGCGCCGGACAGGGTGGGCTCCTCGGCGCGCGCCGCGGACATCCAGCGGGCCGCGAACATGGCCTGCGACTTGACGTGGGGGTCATGGAGACCGAGACCGCCGCGCCGCGTCGGCTGCACCAGCACCGCGAGGGGGACGCGGAGGGGCTCGCCGGCCCAGATAAACCACGACAGGGCCTTCCTCGCGTCCGCGGCCACGCCGGCGGGGATGGGCAGAACCTGAGCAACGTGCCAAATGTGGGACAAGGCGTACACATTAGCATACTGCACCCGCTGGACCACGTTGGGGGCGCGGAGGCGCGCGGAGGCGGCTGGGCCAGTTGAACGGCTGCATGGCGGTGACGGTCCTGGCGAGCGTGATGCCGAGCACCTTGACCTCCTGCACGTACGGGAACGGCATCTCCGTGCTGGTCGACCAGGCTCCGAGCGGCAGCGCCTTCGTCTTGGTGACGTTGATGAGCAGGCCGGACTCCTCGCCGTAAGCCGTCAGCGTGTCCACCAGCACCCGGACCTCCTCGGGGTGCTCCAGGATGACCGTCGCGTCATCGACGTAGCTCGTCGCGGCAAATCGGAGGGGCAGGCGCTCGGTGTCGACGTCGGGCACCAAAAGCCCCGCCAGCCTCCTGGACAGCGCACGCATCAGAGGGGACATGGCCACGTTGAAGAGGTCCATCGACACGGTGCTGCCTTGGAAGATGCCCTTGCCGATGGCGATGGGCGCCCCAAGATGGCCGTTGAGGCGGATCCTGGTGGTGGCTGTGCAGTGCATGCTCTGGAACACCTCAATTAGACCCTCGGCGACGCCGTACCTGCGCAGAACCAGCCACATGTACTCGTGCAGGACGGAGTTGAAGGCGCCCGCCAAGTCCACGGACACGACGCACGCCGCTGCCTTGCCTCCGCGCCGGCGATTGGCCAGGTCCACGAGGGCGATGGCGTCGCGCAGGTCGAGCAGCGCGCCGTGCATGTTCCTCGTCCTGCCACCGCGCACCTGGGAGTCGTGGAGGAGCTTGTGCTGCAGCTTGCGGAGGCGGCGCGCCAGGACGCGGCCGAACACCTTGCCGTCGACGTTTAGCAGGGTGATTTGGCGCAGGTCGCCTATCTTGGTCACCTCGCCGGACTTGGGGATGAGCGTCGTGACGCCGCGGGTGTGGCTGGGCGCGACGCGGCGGCGGCGCAGCATGGCGTTCACCACGGCGAGGAAGTCCTCCCCCAGCACCTCCCAGGTGGCCAGGTAGAACTCCGCGGTGATGCCGTCGTCCCCGGGGCTGCGGCCGCGCGGCGACATCTTCAGGCACTCCAGCAGCTCCTCGGCGGTGATGGGGCGCAGCAGCGTCTCGTTGTCCTCCTCCGTGACGGTGGCCTGGACGACCTCGTCGAGGAGCCGCGGTGCGTGCGGCGCGGGGCCGGCCGGTGAGGCACCGAGCAGGGCCTGGAAGTGGCGGTGCGCTGCTGCAGGTCGTCCTGGTCGCGGAGTACCTTCCCGTCGTTGTCCTGCAGTGACTCGATCCTGGACGCGGCCTTCCTCCGGATGGCCTTGGCGACGTGGTGCATGCTGGGGGCCTCGCCTAGGACATCCATGGCCTTGGAGCGGGCGACCAGCCCCGGCAGACGGCGCGCGAGCAGCGACATGATGCTGGTCTTGGTGGCGGCGATGCGGGGCTCGGCGGAGGGGTCGGCGGCACGCTGGGCCACCAGCTCGTCCAGGCAGCCATGGAGGAAGTCCAGCATCGAGTTGTCGTCCTTCCTGAACTCACGAGACCATGCTGCACAGTGGGATCGAATCCTGACCTTGCCTTGCTCCCACCACTCCACGACGTCCTCAAAGTCCTTCGCCTTGGTCCCCCATCTCGCCCACAGCTGCTTGAAGCGTGGCAGGAAGAGCGGGCTCATCAGCAGCGATGGGTCGAGCTTCCACAGCGTGCGGCGGCGCGGGCGGGCGCCTGCAACGTAGGCTTCCCCTCCGTCGGCGACGCTCAGCAGCACGGCGGCGTGGTCCGAGACGGGCGCGGCGTGCAGTTCCACTGGTATCGTAGACACTGTAGCCATCAAGGACCTCTTGGATCTCGTTTATGGGCAACGAGGTACATCGGGCCTTGCACTGGGGGCGCCTGCCGTAGCGGAAGTAGGCAACTCGCGCGCACGGATGCCTCACTGCTGCCTACCCGGCAGGCGATTGCGATTAACGGCTGGACCACAAGTTATCGTCTGCCTTTCGGGCCCGCCCCGCCATGTCGGTGATACACCAGCACGTGACGGGTCGCCCCTACTGAGAGTAGTGGTTTTCTCGGTTGCGGGCCACCACCATGTACTCCGTCTTGGGGAACAGCTGGAGGCCGGGAGGTCGAGGGGGCTGTTGTTGGCCTCGTCCTGGTGGGGCGCGTCTCCCTGCGGTCTGGCGCGTTCAGCAGCTCCTCGAAGTACTGCCGCCAGCGCCCCAGGACAGCGGCAGGGTCCGTGATGAGCGAGCCGTCCGCTGCCCGAAGTATGGTACTGGCGCTCCCCACGCGGCCGCCTCGGAGGAGCTTGACCGACTTGTAGTAGCCGCGGGTGTCCTTGGCGTCGTAGCTCGCCTCGATGCCGTCGATGGTCTCGTGAATCCACCGCCGCTTGTCCCTCCTAACGGTCCGGGACGCCTCCTGCTGCATGCCCATGGATTCCTGGTGCAGATCCTGGATGATGTCCGCGGGCGCATGCTGCTCCAGGGCGTGCATGAGCAGCTCGTGGGTGGCCTGCCTTTTGAGTAGTGCCTCCTCGCAGTCCTCACCGAACCACGAGAGGTACGCCCGCCGCAAGTTGTCCGGCCCGCGAACTGCACAAGGCGGACTCCGTTGTCACTGGCGACGTCGTGGTGGCTGTGGATGCCGGCGAGGTCGGTCACGTCCCGCCCAACCTTGGCGTTTAAGTCCCCGATGATGATGTGGACGGCACCCGGCGTGGTGTCGGCTGCTGTGTCTATTTTACAGGAGAGCTGCCTGCGACACGGACGTCGTTGCCTTGCTAAACCTCAGCAGTCTTCACGTCGCCGCGTTGTTGAACATGAGGGTGAGCTTTCCGCTTCACAAGACACTTCACTGCCATGGCCAGAACATATCGCACAATGATCGGAGGACGTGCAGGCAGGTGACAGGCATGACGGCATCCTTGGCGGCGCGCTATCTGCCCAAGCCGACGGTGTTTGACGGCGCATCCGTGTAACGTCAACCCCGTCTTCCTGCAATACTCCGCCACGCCAACGCACACTACATGCACGTCGTGCCGATGGAGTCGTCGCTGTATCACCGCCGACTGGGTGCTGCCTTTACGGAAAAGGCAGTGTTCCAGTCTCCGCGACTGATTCAGGTGCGGATCAAGAGGCAGCTTGAGAGGGGGTGATGTCGCAAAACTTGTTCCAATACAGGGGCAAAGTGCGACTTTTCGCCTACTTTTAGGTTTCTAGGAAGGGGGAAAGGGGAGGAGGTAGCGACGCAGTCGTGGCCTGACCCTGGATCCGCGCGCCGCGCCTGCACAGGGTGGAGAGCCTTCCGCCGCGCCCGACCGCGCCCCACAGAGAAGCCCGGGGCCCCAAAGAGCTGCTCCCTGCGGTTGCGTACGCGAAAAAATCCCTTACCACATAATTTGTGTCAATTTTTTGCCTATTGCAAGTGGCCATACTATTTTTTTTAGCCCGCTAACGTCTCGCTTTGCGTGTGGTTTGGGGAAGGCCACTGTAACTTTGGCCGCTAGGGGCAGGGGCGTAACTAGGATGTAGCCATTAGAAAGGCATCAGTAGACCGGGCTGTCCTTTTATTATCACACGTACATGACAATTAACTCATTAGGAAGCTGGAAGCTTTACCCACAAGAAGTAACGGTCAAAATTAGTGGAGCTAGCCGTATCGTCATGGTCGTCTTTCTCATTGGCGGAAGTCCGCCAGTCGTGCGCACCGCTACCAACAGCTAACAGAAAAAGAAAGCATTCGTGGAAGATGATGTGAAAGAAAGTGAGACTAATAATGTTTTTGACCAAAGGGTATGAAGAGCTAAAGTCCAGATTATAAGAATCTGAAGTTTGACAACATCTAAATTTCAAATGAAAGCTATTGAGCTAATCAGGTGTAGGTCAGCACTGATCAGCCACGAAAGTGTAGATCTGCTTCCTTTCCGCTCCTCCTCTTCCTCCTTGTGAAACAGCGTGTCGCAGCCTGTAAACGTCTTTGTGGTTTTTTTGAATTGATTGATCTTTTGATTGTAAATTTGACACTATCTGATTGTGAAGAATGGCACCCAAGCCTGGAGCCCTGATGAGGGACATCGCCGAGCTGGCAAAGGTATAATGTCGTAGCTGATGGGCGTTTGTGAGCCGTTGGTCATGATCACGAGTCGAACCTGCCCAATCCTTTGTCCTTCATTTCCGAAATACTTTATGTCTAGCAGTCTTACCTAATTTCTTTTGATTGATCACCGTTTTTGTCACGAAATCACGATTGCGGACGCAGTGACTTCTCTTTATAACCTAACCAGTACACCCCTGCCATGTGGTTGTGCCACCATTCCTCTTTTGTCGCCCAAAGCAATGCTAACAATGCGTCTTACTATTTTTAAGTTTCATTTTAGTAAGAGTTTACTTTAAATTAGTATTGGGTTTGGTTACACTGCCAATCCAAGTGTGGGACTGTCTCACACTTGGATTGGCTGTGTAGTGTGCATTGAGTAACTTGCTATCGTTCAGTACCACCCTAGTTGCAGGTGTTTGACTATGCCGCCCAGCTAAATTTACTTTTCTTTTTTTTTTTGTAGAACGATGAAGGCATAGCTCTAGTAGAGATTAAGCAGTCCATGGAACGGATACTTGTATCTGTTCCTGGACCCGTATCTACGCCCTATGAATCCGGGACATTCTTGGTGCGCATTCATATCCCGGAGGAATTCCCTTTGAAGTGCCCCAGCGTAAGTATATAACATACTTTTTTTCACTAGATAAGCATGTTTGCATCTCTAAGCTTTGTTGGTTTTCTTTTCTGTAGTTTTATTTTGAGACAAATGTTTTTCATCCAAATGTCTCTCCAAATGATGGGAAAATCTGCGTAGACCGTCTGGCAGAAAGTTGGTAGGTATTGATTATAAGTCTCACATAAGCACTCCTCTTATTATATGGTGTTTATTTTTAATGTCATGTTTTCTCTTCCAGGTCTCCATCAATAACACTGAAAGGGTCTTGCCGTATTATCTCTATGCTACTTTCGGAACCGAACCCAAATTCGCCTCTCAACACAGACGCAGCCCGCATGATGGAGGATGATGAAGAAATGTACAATAGAACCGTGCTGGTGTGGACAAAGCATTTCGCTAATGGTAATTACATCACAGCAGAAACATTTATATTGCCTAATTTAATTCTATTTTACCTAATCTAGCTTTTCTCACTTCTTTTTAGGGATCCATTCATTTCCTCCATATGACGATATGATCGAAAGACTTTGTGAACTTAATGTAAGCCCACGGAGGGCAGTGGGCCTCCTGACGAACTCAAGATGGGAGGTGGAGGAGGCCGCTGAAGTACTGATGCAGGATTGATTGATTGCTTGCTAGTGAATCTTCCACCCTTGGGTTTGTGAAAGTTTGCTCTTCTTCAACAGTGCAGTTTCATCATCAACTGCATGTCTCTACAAGTGTATGAGTCGGGTATTTGAACAGGTTTCTGGATTTGAACAAAATTATTCTGTCAATGTTATTTAATACATATCTCTCTTGGGTGTTACTGTCAAACTTAAGCATGATTTGTCCAAATTGTGTCAAGAATTTATGCCAGTATTTCGTAATAGTTTCATTAGCATGATAAAAGAGCGGCCTTTGCAAAGCCTTGCAAACTTCACTTAATTCTCACTCTTGAATGTTGTGGCATTTTGTTTGGAGTTGGATATTAAGCCTGCAGTAATAATTCAGGCCAACAGTTTATTTGCTTGCTTGGATTCTAGTTTGTGCCATTTATTGGTCCACCATTGATTGCTTGCTAGTGAATCTTCCACCCTCGGGTTTGTGAAAGTTTGCTCTACTTCAACAGTGCAGTTTCATCAACTGCATGTCTCTACAAGTGTATGAGTCGGGTATTTGAACAGGTTTCTGGATTTGAACAAAATTATTCTGTCAATGTTATTTAATACATATCTCTCTTGGGTGTTACTGTCAAACTTAAGCATGATTTGTCCAAATTCTGTCAAGAATTTATGCCAGTATTTCGTAATAGTTTCATTAGCATGATAAAAGAGCGGCCTTTGCAAAGACTTGCAAACTTCACTTAATTCTCACTCTTGAATGTTGTGGCATTTTGTGTGGAGTTGGATATTAAGCCTGCAGTAATAATTCAGCCCAACAGTTTATTTGCTTGCTTGGATTCTAGTTTATGCCATTTATTGGTCCACCAAAGAAGATAATTTGTTTAATATGCTTAAGTGTTTTAAGTAATTTAGAGATACACATGCTGTGCTTGATATTACTGAGATCCATGTTGACAGCCGCAAATGACTGTGGTGTCATATTCGTGTATACAAATATGTCACTGTTAAATTTATGAGTGGTGTTGCACCTTCTGGCCTTCTTATCTGGCAAAGTAAATGTTATGGGAAAAAGGCCTCATATCTTAAGTGTTTTGCTGAATCTGTTTTGATAACAAAGAATATGTTAGAACATTTCTCTGATGCTGCAATGGTTTATACATGCATTAAAATTAATACCATTCTGCTACAAAGAAATAATGAAATGCATCATCTTCCTTTTGTTTCTGTGTGGATAGCCACTAAAGTTGATTGTTGTCATTGAATATTCTGTATGATAGAATCTCTTTCTTTCCTATGACATTTTTTGTGATATGTTTAGTTTGTAATAAAAAAGCCTGTCAGATATTTTTCTTTTTTGTTCATGACTTGACACAAGTATAGTAGACAAATAAATTACTAAATAAGAACAGTTTGCTTAAATTGTATTGCAAAACAGCTTCCTCTCACAGCTTAACCAAAAGGCACTTAAATATTGTGTTACAGGAATAAAGAAAAAGATGGCAAAGACTTAGTGAAATTGATGCCTTGTTTGTCTGTACCTGACCGTAATACTTACAACGTTTACTCATTACTGGCTTATTGGTTTCTTTTTTCCTTGGTCATGAAATCCAATCCTAAAAATTCAGATGCTGACAGAATAATCCTACCTCTACTGATTTGATTTCAACCAAATCCCTCATTTATTTCTGAACACGACACCTCGAGGAGTCCACAGTTATCTACTCTCTTTACAACCCAAAATGGTATAAGCACAGCTTGCTATAAACGTGTCCGCCAGAAATCTTGCTAGATTATTAGTTGTTTTCACCACGAAGTGTCGTTTGCAAACAACAGGCAACAGCATACCACTATGGCAGCTTAATTTATCATTACGATAAAGTGGATCATCACTATTACCTTGCTGGCATAGTTCAATCTAAAGTGGCACAATTTACTTTTTTGGCTGTTTTGCACCAAATTCCTTGGGGCGCTGAGGAAAATTTAGGTAAGGTAAGCAACCACTCTCTCTGTCTCCTTTCAGGCAGTTGGTTGTAGGTTGTACTTGTGTTGGTTGAGTTTAGCCAGAGCATTCCTCATTACAAATTAGTGAATGAGCTGTAACTCCTGATAACATTGCCACATGATAGGGTTCAAGGTCGAGGGTAACTTCGAAAAATGAACATTTTAACTTGAGGGTAGTGGATTAAACTAAGTGATCATCTCTTACAAGTGATTGTAGTATAAATATTTTAGTTCCATAAATGAAGCTAGAGGGCAAGCTAAATGTCACTCCACCAAAATTTGTCCCACTGAGTCAGTTTGTCAGAAATATAAAATTTTTGTTCTTGGATATTCAAATGGTATGCTTGAAAGCTTATCACATCCTATGTACCCAGTCGAAAGGCGCCTTTATCTTAAAAGTTTTGCGCATACCAGTTTGTAGTAAAAGGTTCTGCTACTATGGTATTCACCTGTTCTGCAACATCTACAACTATAGTACCTCCAACTCAAATTATTCATGACATTACTATTGACTGGCTGGTCACCAAAATAGCAAAGATGCTTCACTCAATTCTATATCTTAACCTCCTAAAGGATCAACGCACGCGCTTCACAATCCTTAGGAGAACAAGCTTGTCTCATAAATATAAACACAGCTAACATTATATCGTATCTTTCCAAGTAGATAAGGCAGTAACATGACATCAAGCGAATGATTATCGATTTAACATTACAGAAGGGTTTCAGAAATAAATACGTCTGCTCATATTTTCTTTGTTTTCACCACATCGAGACCAATCGAGACATCGAGAGAGCATCGATAGCTCGTCCATCGTCATAAAGACAAACGCCTCCCGTCACTCCATTTAACTAAACTGCGCGGTGCAATGGCGGCCAGACTAGCTTATGAGCCCGGAAGAAGATTGAACTCTTTTTTCTATCATAAGGGCGATGGCTATTATTACAACCATAGTTACAGCACATCATCTACAATTTATTTTGTCTGTGCATCTTCTAATTGCAATGGACGAGCCAAAATGTTGTTTGGAGGTGAACTGGTTCATACGATGCCTCACAACCATTCAGCAAGAATCTTGGTTCCTGAATTCTTTGCTGCTCGCCGTCATATAGTTACTCAAGCCAGACAACTGAGCCACATGTCTTTTTCTCAAATAATTCAACAAGAAAGAAGGAGGTAAATTATTTTGTTACTGGTTTGGCTTGTGGTTAAGCCTTTGTAAACACCTAGCTAGTAAGCTTAGCATAAACATTATTTCCAAAGAACTTACGATTTAGTTTAGTAATTCTTTACACTATGTTATTTTTCAATGGTTCAGTGTCACTAACTCCAAGTCTCCATACTATAGGAGTGGAAAAAGATGAATAACTGTAATAATTCTTAAATGTTGTCAATTTTTTTTCCAGAATTCCTAATCGAGATCTTCGCTCTCGCTTGACATATAGGAGCCTGCGCCCAGCAATGCAAAGATCCCGTAGCTCTGTCTTCCCTCGTGTGCCACGTACCTTGAGAAACATCACAGCTATTCATTTGAATCCTGCGTGGGCACATCTTACTGAAACTTGTGACCTAGAAGATTCTATATATTTGGGATCTGTTGATGCGGTTGATGGGTCTCATAGTATTATCTATACTAGTCAGAGGAATCTCCAAACTTTGAGAGAAGTGAGCACTATCTTTGCTGATGGGACATTTTCCATTTTACCATCAGTCAACAATTGTTATCAGGTAAATGGTTGTACGTCTTCCTTGTTTCATTCTCATTCAAGCAAACTGGTTTTAAAAGCCCCTTTTGCTCATGTTTTCAGGTGTTCACTATTGTTACTGTACTTGGTCACACTGTAAGGAACTTATTCTAAATGAAACACATGCCGTGCTTCTTTTTATTTTAACTTATGAGACTAATATTATTTTTATGGTTTCTGCCTAGGTAATACCCCTATTGTGGTGCCTGATGGAGAGCAAAACTGAGGCTGCATATCTGTCTGTATTTTATTTTTTGAGGGCCCGCTTGAGGTTCTGGAATTTCACCAAGGCAATCTGTGACTTTGAAGAGGCTATGATGAACGCCTTTCGAATTGTATTTAACATAGATGTTCAGGGATGTTACTTTCATTACGTCAACGGTTTGGGAAGATGGGCATGTAGCAATATTTCTGTTCATGTTTTTCAAACCTACCAAGAGATCGTTGATATTGTGCTACATTGCTGTGTTTTGCCTCTGCTTCCAAGCCACCTCTTGGGACAAGGTTTCCAAGTTATCATTGATGAGGCTCTGGACCTAGGATTACATCTTTTTTTGTTGTCTGTCCCATTTCTTTTGTACGTACAGAAATCCTGGCTTGAACATCCTACCAGAGGTCAGACTATGTCTGTGGCTGGATCAGCACACCGAACAAACAATGCCAGGTATGCAATCAGTCATTATTCTCTTCAAATTAAATCTGTTACAAAATCCACAAAATTTTCCTTTAATTTGTTTCAGTGAAAGCAATAACAAACGGATGAATAGGCTTGTTCAATGTGTTCACCCTAATGTCTATCGTCTCATAAGTAAGTAGTTTTCACTTCCTGAAATGTGAAAAAGTTCTAGAATATGTAGAATTAGGCCAGCAGTCAAGTTCTCAAAGGATACTTTTTGAATAACAGAATACACAAAATATTAAATTTAGCATGTATGTACAATATGGTAAACATTGTTGACAAATTGGTTTTTTGTAATTAATTTCTATTTTCAATTATGTTCTAGATCATTTTAAAGAGATTGAGGATGCTACTTTAGACGACTTAAATAGCTTGGCTCTTGGACATGTGCCTAGTAGGCACAGGCATGCCCATTCAATCAGCAATGATAACTTCATCATTTCACTTACAAGACAATTACTGCAAGTGCCAGAGCCAACTGATGCACAAATAGCAGCATTTTTGCATTCTGCTGCTGGTTCTGTTCGAAATGTTGTTCAGAATGCTCTTGGATTGCAGCCTCAGGAGCCTTAATCAAAGATGCCTCCTCCATGTTAGATGCACTGACCAAGGTAGGATTGAAAATACACTAGGTTCCTGGTCTTGTTATCTGTACGCTGGGTTTAAAATTTTATTCTTTAGAAAAAAAATGTCACTGGTATTTTTTGTTGCAGTTTCATCATTAACTGCATGTCTCTACAAGGAACATTATTTTTCTTATGCGATTAAAAATGCTTGACTGAATGAATGTATTGGATTCATTTCAAATGTGGTCAAATGTGATCTATTTACATTGTCTGTAAAATTTACAGAAATGGAAGACTTCTTTCCTCTTTTTCATCAAAAAATATGCATTCTCCAAAATTTGCCTACATTCAATCACCCTACCTTAGAGAAGCTCCAGACAAAAAAAAAACCACTTGGTCGGCGACATCATAGGACCGGGCACCTTTGGTGTTTTATCGGTTCCTTGTATGCATACGAACTGCCGAAAAGACATTTGGACGAAATCCGACCCCCCCTCTGGATTTGGCAGGGGTCAAAACACCCCAAAAATGGCCATTTTCGACGTTTTGGGACTAGATGGGTTCTGCCAAACCAAAGCCCAAAAAAGTACCCAAATGGGTCCTGGGCATAGAAAAAAGTGCGATCTTTCGATTGCCGGTCCGCAAAATGAGTTTGGACAAGCCGTTTAGGCGCTATAGGGCGCCAAAGTTGACAAATTTCACAAATTTCACTAATTTTTCTTATTTTTTTCTTATTTTTTCTTAAATGCAGTTTTGAAGGGCCCGATGTGTCAGAAATGTGTTCTTATCCTCCTTTCGTCATTATTTACTTGAAACAAACCCACTTCAGCTAACTTTAACTCTCATTTTCACGCTGTGCACGCTTTTCAGCAACTCGAACGCCTGGCAGTTAGGCAGCCACCCCAGTCCAGCGCAGGCGAGTCGTACGGGCCTGGCTCGAGGCTCGCGGCAAGCGTAGCGGCGGCGCGGGGTGGGCCAGAGGACCGGCACCAGCGGCCAAAATTCTAGACGCGTTTTGAGCTCTGGAGTCGCTAAACGGGACTCGAACCGAACACTGTTAAAAGAGTTCTGAAAATTCAGACCAATTTCGTCAGACTTAGCCGTCTGAATCTGTAAATCAGACTTTACCAGGACTTTACTCTGAAAAATTAGAGTTTATGTCTTACTTCTTGGACGCTTTGTCTGAAAGCTTGGTTCAGACTTAAAGTGTCTTAATATTTGTACTCATTCTCAAAATTCAGATGAACTTGCGTCAGTCTTTCCAGACCTCAAGAGTCTGAATTTCGGATTCAGACTGCTTTCTGAAATATGTTCAAACCTCAGACAAAATTCGACAACTTTCTTCCAACCTAACATTTGGTTAACACACAATCAGTCTTACATTCAATTTAATACGACTTCGTGTCGGGGACTTCAGACAAAAAGAAAGTATTTTTCTCTCCGCTAGGTGGCGCCAGTGTCGGTAAAGAGCTTGCTGTTGTTAAAAATGTCCGTTTCAGTTAAATTTTTAATATTTTCAACCCAAAATAGCTATCTCTCAAGTGGCTATGACGAAACACACGCTCCCATACCAAATTTATATCTGCAGCAAACGCGCGAGTTTAACAATTGACATTTGAAGTCTGAAGTTACCTCTCGCGGGTGGCTCCGTGCCGTCGTTTCCTTGGGTGCGTCAGGCCAGCTCCAGATAACTGCAGAGAAGAGTGCCACTTCGGGGACATTTCCCTACACTCAATGTTTTACCTGGACGGTCCCCCGGAGTACGTCTGTCCTTTGAGGTTCGGATTTTAACGTTATTATATCACCGAGTAATGGGTACACTGTCTTGCCGCCACTTTCAGACAAAACAATCTAATAATTGAGAAAATTTTGTCTGAATTTTTCAGACTACGACCTGCCTGAAAGGTTAAGACTTATGTAAGTCTGAAAATCTCAGACCAGGATTTAGTCTGAATTTTCAGTAGGATGTTCTGCATATTTACTTCAGTCAAAATAGTCTGAATTAGTTAATAGTCTGAATAGTTCGGAGGGCAATCCGTTGGTGAGGTCACACGTTCTAGTGCCATTTAGCGACTCCAGAGCTCAAAACGCGTCTAGAATTTTGGCCGCTGGTGCCGGTCCTCTGGCCCAACCCGCGCCGCCGCTACGCTTGCCGCGAGCCTCGAGCGCCTGCCGCATAGGCAGGCCCGTACGACTCGCCTGCGCTGGACTGGGGTGGCTGCCTAACTGCCAGGCGTTCGAGTTGCTGAAAAGCGTGCACAGCGTGAAAATGAGAGTTAAAGTTAGCTGAAGTGGGTTTGTTTCAAGTAAATAATGACGAAAGGAGGATAAGAACACATTTCTGACACATCGGGCCCATCAAAACTGCATTTAAGAAAAAATAAGAAAAAAATAAGAAAAATTAGTGAAATTTGTGAAATTTGTCAACTTTGGCGCCCTATAGCGCCTAAACGGCTTGTCCAAACTCATTTTGCGGACCGGCAATCGAAAGATCGCACTTTTTTCTATGCCCAGGACCCATTTGGGTACTTTTTTGGGCTTTGGTTTGGCAGAACCCATCTAGTCCCAAAACGTCGAAAATGGCCATTTTTGGGGTGTTTTGACCCCTGCCAAATCCAGAGGGGGGGTCGGATTTCGTCCAAATGTCTTTTCGGCAGTTCGTATGCATACAAGGAACCGATAAAACACCAAAGGTGCCCGGTCCTATGATGTCGCCGACCAAGTGGTTTTTTTTTGTCTGGAGCTTCTCACATCCTCTAACTCTGTCATAACTCAGGAGTAGGTGTCTGCTCTGAGTTGTCTGGTGAAAGAGGGTCTACATTGAGTCCAGCATCTTTGCTATTTTGGTGTCCAGTGAGTCAATAGTAATGTCATGAATAATTTGAGTTAGAGGTACTGTAGTTGAAGATGTTGCAGAACAGGTGAATACCATAGTAGCAGAACCTTTTACTACAAACTGGTATGCGCAAAACTTTTAAGATAAAGGCGCCTTTCGACTGGGTACATAGGATGTGATAAGCTTTCAAGCACACCATTTCCATCTCCAAGAACGAAATTTTTATATTTCTGAAAAACTGACTCAGTGGGAGAAATTTTGATGGAGTGACATTTAGCTTGCCCCTTAGCTTCATTTATGGAACTAAAATTTTTACACCACAATCACTTGTAAGAGATGATCACCTTCAGTTTAATCCACTACCCTCAAGTAAAAATGTTCATTTTTCGAAGTTACCCTCGACCTTGAACCCTATCATGTGGCAATGTTATCAGGAGTTACAGCTCATTCACTAATTTGTAATGAGGACTGCTCTGACTAAACTCATCCAACATCAGCAAACCACTATGGCAGCTTAAGTTATCATTACGATTAAGTGGATCATCACTATTACCTAGGTGGAATATTTCAATCGAAAGTGACACAATTTGCTGCTTTGCACCAAATTCCCTAGGCCACTGGGGAAAATGTAGAAAGTCTCCCTTCAGGCAGTCGTGATGGACGTAATCTTTCATTCCAGTTTCATCAAAAATGAGGTCTTCATTACTTAAATATTTTCTCCCAAGTTAAATAAGGTAGAAAACAAGATATGAAAGTTCAATCACCCTCTATCCTACCGTGTGTCATTGTCATCAGCACTTTACGATCTGCGCTGGTCTGGCCAATCTCACTATGGGACCCAAATTTACTTCCCCTCTTGCCAATAAAAGCAAACAGATCTGCAGGGAAAAAGCTCATAAAGAATTAAAAAAATTAGAAAGCATCAACATTTATTAGCATTCCAAGATGCTTCGTTTACATAACAATTCAATTAAATTGAACCAAATCATAGAGAGATATGACAAAAGTTAAATCACATAAAAAGAGAGTACGAACATGATTAAGAGCTAAGTACTTAACGATCAATAAAAGTCTAGAGACTAAGAAAAGTCTACATCAGAGAACCAAAACATAGAGAGATATGACAAAAGTTAAATCACATAAAAAGAGAGTACGAACATGATTAAGAGCTAAGTACTTAACAATCAATAAAAGTCTAGAGACTAAGAAAAGTCTACATCAGAGAAGACTAAAACAGAGAGTCTTAACAGAGAAGACATAAAAGACTAAATCAGTCATCATAAGGAAATGTGAAAAGATTAAACTTGAATCAGGCGGATATCTTGTAGGACGGTGTACCGCTCACATCCAGCCTCAGCGCAGGTGTGATGCCTGCGAATCCATGGCCGGACACATTCAGCACAAAACTTGTGGCTGCAAGGCAGCTCAGAGTCTGCACTGAACGATCTACAAATGCTGCAGTATGGCCGATTGACTTCTGGAACTGAAAACCGCAATAATGATATGAGGAATATTATCACAAATTATGGAATTTATCAGATCTACGTAAACTTACCTAGTGGTGCTGGAGCAGCTCGTGGGGGTGGTTGGGCTTGAGCAGCAGGGGCATCTTGTTGGGCGTCATTGAAGAGGGCCCGAAGCATACCAGATGCTCGTAAAAATCCAGCTGCGAACAAGAGTTAAAAAGGACCACTGAACAAATCTTGAGTTTAAATGGTATGATCTGTACTTTGCACATCATAATTTAAATTCAAGATTTAGCATCAACACTGTCAGTAGCAGGCAGTAGCAGGGTTAATATACAGCCATTGAGCATACAACATTGAGCAAGGACAATACAGGTTTAGAAAAAGTGGACCCTGATGGAGCTGACATCCTGACTTACTGTCATTCCTCGACCAATTGTTACAACTAATCATGAGATCTAAGTGTGAAATCCATGTCAAATTTTCATTCCCAAGAGGGCCAAGGCAAACAGCCTATAGGCTAACCATCTTGACTAGCTAGACGAATAGCAACAGAGCGAAGTGCTCCTGAGTAGAAAGAGACTGAAAAACACAGTTTCTATCATAATACAATACAGTCAAAGACTGGATTGCTTAAAAAATATAACAACAGAGAAAATTAGCAGCCGCCTAACGGTTTCCCGCCCTCAGCCTCTCCCAGAAAATTGAAACAAGGTTCACTAAATTTGTCGTTTCATCCAGAAATCAACATGTCACTAACCGGGAGTGCTAATGTTCAAGTGCAGGTGGAGGGCCCGAACGATCCTGCGGCGAGATGGACCTGAATCCTGAGGCATGATTACTGGTATCAGGAAATGCAGCTGCAACAATTTAGCTTGCTTCACGCACAACGTCTCGCCATCACGCCAGTCCAGAGAGAGGGCCACTCACGCCGTTCCCGCTCCGCACGACAACCGCCAACGGCACTATTCGTTACCACCACTCCGAAACTTGAACCTCAATGAATATGTTATAGATACGATGGGAATTCAAGCTCTGAAAAATAGTACAATGATCCAGTTTCAAAATATGTCTACTATGATTAAAATTGTAACAGTGATGGTTAACAAAATTAGGCTCCACATACTTTTTTTTTTATAAGTTGAGGTTGGCTTTCGCCCTCACGCTACACCACGCCCAACCACGCCCACTTCCCGAGAACAGAAACAAACATTTTAGTTTACTTTGATTGTCATCGAAATAAATCACCTACCAAGTTTCCTATAAGTCGCGCAGAAGTTTCTCTCTCTCTCTCCAGAAGTTTCTCCTATAAGTCGTGACAGTCATGGCAGTTCAAGAAAATGAGGTATATTATTCAGTGATCGACCTGCGGGTGAGGCTTAGGTTTGTCACAGGAGTTTCTAACCCTTTATCGTTTCATCATCAGGTGTCCAAGGAACAATTGAAGAGAATTATACGTGCCTCGAAGCCTCACTTTAAGGCTCTGCCAACATATGAGGGCACATCTTTGGGATTGTTTGGACGTGTAGCGTTAGGACTTGATTGTGACGAGATGTACCCCAATTTATTTGTTGGTGATATGTGAGTATATTTCCCCATCAGCGCCCAATGCACCAAGGCGCATTGAAATGCGCATAAAAGGTAACACATTTAAGGCGCATCAAATGCGCATTAATGCGTGTAAATGCACATGAAAGATGCCTTAAATGTGTTGCCTTTTACGTGCATTACAATGCGCATCCCCGCTTTAAAAGCGCTTTGATGCACATTGGCGCTATGTGGGGGTTTGTCTCATTCAAGTGACTACTATATAATGGTTACCTACAGAACTGAAACAGTGACAACCTGCCCAAGTAAATTGATTTACTTTCATTCTTTTAATACAGGAGCACTGCTCTGTGTAAACCCTACCTAAGAAAACTTGGTATAACCCATGTCTTCAATGCTGCTGAGGGTAATTTTGAAGGAATGGTGAACAGTAATGGTGCTTACTACAATGACATTGGAGTCCAGTACATGGGAATTCCATTAGTCGACCATTCATCTAGCAGCTTATGTCAATATTTCCTTACTTCGGCACAATTCATTGATGATGCCATCAGGGGAGCAGGTAAGGAAATGCACCTACTTTTGTCATATTCTCTCTGAATCCTGTATTCTGAAGCACTGCTTTCATCTATACAGGCAAAGTACTTGTACATTGCGTCAACGGATACTCCAGATCTCCAGCAATTACCGTAGCTTATCTAGCCATAAAAGTTAACATGCCAGTACCCATGGCACTCAAATTGTGCTGTGCAGCTCGCAAGATTTGTCCCAATGACGGATTTTTAAACCAGCTAGCAATCCTTGGAAACACTTTATCAAATTGTTAGCTTTACAATCAAAGTTACCAGTCTTTTAACACTATTATTTGAAAGCCAAATATGTTGCTCCCATAATTACTTTTTAAAAATACTTCATAACTCTGAGAGCATCTATCTTACAATTCAACAAATAAAAAACAGAAGCAATACATTGAAACACGTGTAACACTTTAATGAGTCACCACTTGCCAGGTAAATGGACATGCCAACACATCTCAGTGTTCATTGGATAGCACAATCTATTCTGTCTATTAACATAATTAATACCTAGGCCAAATTCGGAGAAACTGTCTGGCTCAGGAAACTGTCTGGCTCATTGGTTTACTTACATTATTATTATTACATTATTATTATCATTACTCTACAGCTGAACATGTACAAGTGCAAATGTATAATGGTAAAAAGAGAAAAAAAATACATATGTTGTGCAACACCAAGTTATTGCTTTACTCTGCCTTAAACATACGATCCTTGAACACAAGAACATAAATAGCTTTTCAGCGTGAAATAATCTTACCAAAAAATCAAACAAATTTTCTGAACACTTCAATTGGGCAAAAGATGATTGATAAGAAGTGAAGTAGCAACTAGAAGGTTCCTTGCAGCATTCAGCTGGTTACTAGCGGTACTACACAATTCTTTTGTCAGATTAATTATTTGTGGTTGGTTGGATACAGAGGAGGCACGTCTTCGCTGCACCATTGCACCACGCTCAATGTCTTGAATATCCCTAGCCGACACTTCTGCCAAACTGGTAATGTGACCTGTATTCATTTGAAAATATATTTAAATACTCAGTATAAAACGATTGCGTCATGTGACACATGTTATAGTCATAAACTTACGTAACAAACTGTAAATACGGTTCCTGTGGATATCAATGGTTCTGAGCACCTTGTTCTTGACAACTTCACTGCAAGCACAATAAAGTGAGTTACAGTGGTGATGAAACACAACTACTTTTTCCATTACTTCCAAAGTGTGCAAAGGTGACTTACACTGAATTACTTGTCCTATAATAATCACCACACATTGAC